CCTGGTCGGAGAGCACATCCCAGGGAGCCTTTAAAATTAGAGTCACCCCGGACCCGATGCTTCCAAAGTTATAGTTACAGGACCCGGTATTAAAGATTCGATTCTTGGCGAGGACAACGAGATCTATATTGACACTAGAGAAGCTGGTATTGGTACTCTACTCATTAAAGTACATGGTGTTAAAGACGCCTTCAAGATTGATGCCAATCCTGTCAATGAAGATGATAAAAGATTACTCCTTGCTACCTACTCTCCCACAGTCCCTGGTAGTTTTGATATTTTCATAAGATGGAGTGGTGTCCATGTTCCTGGATCTCCGTTTAAAGTGAATATTACAAAACCAGGGGGAGCAGAGGAACCTGAAAAGAAAGTGAAGACTGAGAGACAAGCTACAGCTGCTGGCGGAGCTCAAAAGAAAAAGCCATCAAGAAGACTAACTGAGCAAAGGTTGCAACAGGACATTCAAGTTGAGGAGCAGAAAACTCGAGCAGGACGACGCAAAAAAATCAGCACAGTGAGCGTAGAAGTTGAGAAGAAGCAAAAGAGAGTGATGAGGTCACAATCAAGCAGTGCAATACCTGTCAGTGGACCAATAAAACCACAGATGAAAATGAAGAGAAATCCTTCGATGATGGCAGGTGAGTCATGATTAATATTTGATAGCATGAAGGCATATTTTTTACAATATTCTTTATTGTATTGTTATTATTGTTATTATTATTGTTATTATTATTATTATTATTAGTTATTGGTATGCCAGGACGTCCTCCATTATTCCATCAACCAGGTACACTATACATCACACACATTCCTCCATGCTAACATAGCTACCATATAAGGATATTTAATGCTGTTCTTCTCCACAGGTGGAATGATGATGTCCTCTGGAATGATACCAACTCTTCCTCCAGCACAACAAGAGAGGGTAGTGAAAAAACAATCCAGTTCTGCCAAGTTACCTTCGGCGGAGGCATCCAGTAGAAAAAGTAAATAAAACAGCCATTATGAATGTGTTGATAGTTAATGCACATAATTATTTGTAGTATCCACAAGCAAAAAGGTTGTCGGCAAAGAGGAAACAGATCATAATCCGAAAGTTGAGCACAAGCCAGTAAAGAGAAAGAAGAGTCGATTTGAACTTGCTTAGTATTTGTAGCTTTTATATAAAAATACATGTACAAAACAACAAACTGTTAGTTAAGTTACATATGTATTGTACACACAAACAAACAAACCCTTATTTATAATTATTAAGTACTATAGTCCAGACAATATAAAGTTATTCTTGTTTTATCCCTATTGGTAATATTTATTTATTATTATTATTATTATTATTATTGTTGTTGTTGTTGTAGTTTTGCATTCTCAGCAAATATAGAAGTTATGACAAAGTGATAGCAACTGTCTTTATGAGCTTATAAGAATAAAGGATACATTAGCGAACAAAGAGAAATACATTACAGCTACAAGCACACGTTAGCAAATCGTAATAGCCAGGAACAAGGTAAGAACAGGTAGAAAACTGTAGTAACTGTCAAAAGGACTATTATGGTGTCATCTCACAAACAAAACAAGTCTAATTCGTAAATGGCAGGAGTGTCTAGTTTTCCGAAAATGTCTCCATTGGCCACAGCCGCTTCTGCTTTCTTTAATCGCTGCCTATTGCAGTCAATGAGTGACTGAGTGAGCTCAAAAGTAGCTTTCTCAAGGCAGTCGACATAGAGAGAGGATAAATGAAATGAGAAACAAATGAGGTGGTGGTGTAGTGGCAAAATGTATAGTTTAGGGACCCCCTCTTGAACTGGTGAATCATAACTACTGATACTAGCAGTAGCACTAGTGCATTGAGCACTGATGCAGTGATCAAGCGCTAGCTGGACTGTTATTGATAATAGCTTACGATCTCTAGCCCAGGTCAGGACTTCTGAAGAAGAATCAAATGAAGACTGATCGGTGTACATGACTATTAGTAGATCGGGTTTTTCTTTAAGCGCTTCTGCTTCCCTTCTCTCGTTATCGTTAAGTATGGTGACTTGAACTAGGCTGTTGTTGAAAAGGTGAAGGAAGGAGGGACGGTGCAGTCGCAATGCGTTTAGAGATACAGGCAGTCCAAAGAGAGAAGAGAGAGTGAGAGAGACAGTGTTTAGTGATTCGCCATCAGTTAGGCTGGTACCAACCAAAAGGATTACAATATTGTGAATAATACAAGATGATGATACCCTCTCGTTGGATTGTAATAAACCTTTGCTGACAATACCAGAGCAATTAGGATACTGAAAAAAATAAAAAAAATAAAAAAGAAATTCAAAAAGCTAATTTATTAAAGATTTAGTTTCTTACTTGCTCTGGTTGCATAATCAGTTTCAAGCAAACTTGCATGCAATACTGAACTTCTTTCCTCTCTCTCATCATGTTTATCTGCAGCTGCTCATTCTCCCTCTGGAGCTCTTGATTCCTCCTGTTCAGATCTTTCATGTTCTTCTCCAGCTCATGCCAACTCTCCTTTGCCTTTGAGAATGAGTCGGTAAGACCAGAATCAGTCAAGTCATCTCCACTAGGCAGCCTACTCTGTCTTTGAGAGTAACTGAGCCTCATTTCTCTCAAGCTCCCTGTCAGTTTGTCACTCTCCTCCTCACTACAAAGAGATGCAGTAATGCTAGCATTTAGTGAAGACGATTGCCACTGGGCATTGGTAGGTTTAGTTTTGCAAGACTTGGGCAATATCTGCAACAGCTCCAAGTGTCCTAAATGTAAGGACAGGTCATCAGACTCCACAGAGCGCTCCAAGGCTTTGAGAAATAAAGGATAGGAGCCGCGTCCCTTGCTCACTAGTGTAGATACGAGTAGCCTGGTCTGTGTGTCTCTCTCGCTGCTGCACTTATTCAACTTCTCCAGCTCCGGGAGGGTGAGGAGTCTCTCTGAAACTAGGTAAGGGTATATGGTCATGAAGTCCAAGTATTTCAATAGCTCGGGGAAGAACTGCTGTAGAGTATCAGAATGCGAGGCTGCCACAGATGCCATTGCTATCCAAACTTGATATTCTGTGTATGGTGTAGCTGGCCGGACGGTTTCATTTTTATAACAACTAAACCGGAAATAATGAATTTAACTAGGTGAATGTAAACATTGT